TTTGGTTGTTATGCCTCTTTTAATCTAAATCAGCCTCTGCTTACTATTTTTAATTCCCATTTCATGAGTTCTTTGTGGAAAGTTAATTCTCATTAAATAGCATGCTCACGATATTGAAGGGTTAAAGAACACTGATCTCATGGCTGCAGCGCAGATGAAAGCGTAGCCTGAAATGCACTACTGTAAGGCAGTCAATGGAGGACGGTTATTACAGTCACGGGCAGATAGTAGCATAAAGCTGCTTCCAAATAGTGTTTATGACTGGGCACATTGGCTTCTGCCTGTAATCTTAGCACTTTCGGAGGCCAAGGTGGATGGATCAGCTGAGGTCAGGAGTTGGAGACCAGCCTGGCCAACATAGTTAAGCCCTGTCTCTACTAAAAATATACAAAAATTAGACAGGCATGCTGGCCGGCACCTGTAATCTCAGCTACTTGTGAGACTGAGGCAGGAGAATTGCTTGAACCCGAGAGTCAGAGATTGCAAGGAATCGAGATCATGCCACTGCACACCAGCTTAGGTTATGTTCTTTATTGTCTATAATGATTTTCTTTATTTCTCCTCTGTTTAAGGATATTGAAAAACAAAGTTTAATCTTTGAAGATCTTTGAGGATGGTTTTTAAGACCAAAAATTTGAAGGACATGCGAATGATGTGTGTGTGGAAGAACTACTGGAAGACATTCCTTTCAGAAGTCCCTCATGATAGGGAATCCCAAGGCTGGAAACCATCATTCAAGTGGGCAATCAAATTACATTTGTTATTAAAAGGTAAGATGATAATCTGCAGACACAAATTCAGTGTCTTCCCTAAGAAGAGATGAATTTGATTAATTTGGGCCTTTTGTTTCCCTCTCATCATGACTTCTTTATACTTAAAATTCACATTTAGTTTCTCTTACTAAACAAACATTTATTTAGTATAAGTGTCAGATGAACAAAATATGCCCTTACACATAGGCACATAGAGTTGGGGTTGGGTGTTATCAACTTTTAGAGAGTGATTACAGCTAATTGACTCCTTGTTCATTATTGCATTTATTCAGTATAGAAGTAGTAACAGAGGTTTTAAGTTAACCTGCTTGTGGATAATTAACATGGTTGAAAGAGTGGTTTTAAGAATGATGAAAACTTGTGGTTCTGAGGTCCAGAATAAACACCATTAAGAAGTAATTCTTTTTCAACCTCCCCCTTAGAGGAGCAGCTAGCATGAAGTTTACATGAGTAAACAGTAGAGAAAAAGGAATGTGGGATAAACAGACTCAACCAGGGAAGCTTTTATCATCTTAATCTTCACCTTATGACTTAAAGCTCCAATGTAAGAACTGGCTGTCTTCAGCCTGGCTCATTAAAACTTTTCAGCTTTTCAAAGGTTTGAGACTATATTCTATACTTCCCTAATATTTCTTTTAATATTTTTCCAGCCACCCTGAGTGAATCCCAGCATTGCCCTACATAAAATATATCCTTAATGGTATTTCCTATTTGATGTCTGACTCCCCCTCCTCCTTCACTAAAAGGTAAGTAAGGGAAGGGATTCTGTCTGTTCTGTTCTGTTGTAACCCTAAATCCCTAGAAGGTGGTCAGTAAATATTTGTTGTTTGAATGAATAAATCAGCCTATTATTGAATCAGTCAGTCTCCTGTGGAAGGACTTCTCATACCAGTGGTGCATATCTGTATGATAGCTGGCACAGGGAGGGATGTGGTCAGAATGGCTCTGTCTATGTGGACTAGTTTTGCTTAGCATAATTACAGCAGGCTCCTGTTGGGGTTAAGCCACAGTTTCAACCTGATTAATTAGTATCATTCTTTAATCATTAAGCCAGAGGATGTTAACATTGGAATTGATCTGGGAGACTATTCAGTCTGCTTGTCTATTTATTGATGTGAGAATAACAGAGCCTAGAGAAAGCTGATTACTCACAATTTTAAAGCTTTAGAGGTCAACCTGAAATTAGGCTTCTGATGTCAGATTCTGTAGTGTTTCCTTCATGTGTTCCCCCTGGCTGAGACAGTTCATGGGCTTTCACGTTTGACATTTTCTCTCCAGTCTCCAAACAAAAGCTTTTATCTGGACATTCTAGGTTAGCATAGATGGCCAATGACCCTGCAATGTGTGGATAATCCCAAAGGTTGACCACTGTGGATGGGAACTATCCCAGATGTGTCAGGAGTACCACAGGCATGCTCACTTCTCTATTCATTGGAGCTGTATACAGTGGAAAGGAAACACAAGTCAAGACACTTTGCTGCTTCAATTCTTTTATTACATGTCACAGTCCCATATGTCTCCATTTAAATTCAGACTTTTTGATGAATCATCAGACCAGCTGCAGGCCCATTGGTTCAGAAGTCTTGATCTCACCAACTGTTCATTTTCTTAATGGACTTCCTTACTTCAGGCATTTGTGTGTAGCTGGTCTATTGTGGAGTTGTCAAGAGGGGTGTGGAGCCCTCTTTTTTTGGGACAGTCAGTTCTCTTTGTGTAGCATGTTCTGAAGTGGGTCTGTCTCCATTCTCTTTGTGTGTGAAGTTTTCTGTTAAGCAGGGTAAAGTGAGAGAGGACTCCTAAAGAGAAAAACTCCTCCAGCATTTGCTTATTTGTTTATGAACTGACCAAGATGTAATTGGATGGCATGAAAAAGGCTAAAATTTATTTAATTTCTTGCTATCTGGTTTGTGGTACATGGTGCCTTAAATTGAGTTTAGAAGAAACTTTGCAGATGGAATTTTCTTTTGCCCAGGCTGGAGTGTAGTGGTGTGATCTCAGCTCACTGCAACCTTTGCCTCCTGGATTCAAGTGATTCTCCTGCCTCAGCCTTCCAAGTAGCTGGGATCACAGGCACCTGCCATTATGCCTGGCTAATTTTTATATTTTTAGTAGAGACGAGGTTTTACTATATTGGCCAGGCTGCTCTTAAACTTCTGACCTCAAACGATCTGCCCACCTCGGCCTCACAAAGTGTTGGGATCGCAGGTGTGAGCCACTGCGCCCGGCCGAGGGTGTCATGTTTAATTCTACTCCCTGTGGCCTCTTTTTCAATACCAGTCATGCATGGAGCCCATGGTTTTGCTGCACCTAGTTTTACTCAAACAAAGGCTCTGGACTTTCATAGTTTACACTGACATATTCTAGTTTGCCTCTGAAATGTACTCTGAGGATGCTGACTTCCAGATAGTCATTCTTGGCTTCCAGATAGTTATTTTTGGGTGAAGGGAATTTCAAGTCTTTTGAGTATAGTAGCCACACCTCTTAGCTTCATTTTGGTTTGGTTACAAAATTTATTTTAGCTTAGTTTTCTTAGATTGAGGGGGCAAAGGCAGAGCAGAAGCTTTTGGGAGGCTGAGTTGGGTAGATCACGAGGTCAGGAATTTGAGACTGATGTGGCCAACATGGTGAAATCCCGTCTTTACTAAAAATACAAAAGTTAGCTGAGCATGGTGGTGCGTACTTATAATCCCCACTACTTGGGAGGCTGAGGCAGGTGAATTGCTTGAACCCAGGAGTCTCTTGGGAAGTTGGGACTAGAGCACATGCCACCATATTCAGCTAATTATTTTTATTTTTAGTGGAGACAAGGTTTCTCTATGTCACCCAGGCTGGTTTCAAACTCCTGGACCTAAGTGATTCACCTGCCTTGGCCTTTAAAACTGCTGCAATTACAGGTGTGAACCACCATGCCTGTTTTTCTTCTCATTTTTCTCTCTTCCCTTCCTTCTTTGGTAGAGGGAAATGTGTCATGTACCAGCTATTCATCCAATGACTGCTCCTCAGTTCCAAATTCACTGTTCACTGCCTCCTTTGCAAATGTAGAGGTGGGTTCCTTAAATGCTTCCTCTGTGAACTGTTGCATTATTAAATGTTGTCAGTACATGGTGCTAGAGGGGCGTTCTAAGAGGCTTTTCTTTCTAGTTGTGTGCAAATCTTCACAGGCACTGAGCTTTTCCAGCACCAGGCCTTGCCCTGCATGGTGCTTAGCAGCACACAGTGACCAGCAGTTTCTCTGCATTTGCCTGGGTGGTTTTCTAGTGAGACAACTGTTTACTAATAGGTTAAGCTATCACCCTAGATGGTGGATTTTCAGCAAACTCCAGAGGGCATATTGCTAGCATGTTCCACCATGTGGTAATGCAGCAATTCTGCCATTGAATTTCCCATGACTGTGCCCTTTTCAAGGGGGCTTGGATCTCAGCCTTAGTGGGCAATCCCTTCCTTGGTCACTCTGTCTCAGTGTAGGGACAGTAGGAAGTTACTGCTCCTTGTAACAACTGGTCCTATACTTTGTTTTTTTTTAGGCAGGGTCTCTCTCTTTTGCCCAGTCTAAAGTGCAGTGGTGAAATCATGGCTCACCGCAGCCTTAACCTTCTGGGCTGAAGCAATTTTTTCACCTCAGCCTCCCAAGTGACTAGGACTACAAGTGTGTGCCACCACACCTGGCTTTTTTTTTTTTTTTTTTTTGGAGAGCCAGGGTCTCACTGTGTTTCCGAGGCTGGTCTCAAACTGCTGGCCTCAAGCAGTCCTCCTGCCTTGGCTTCCCAAATTGCTGGAATTGTAAGCATGAGCCACCATGTCTGGCCTCTGCTAGCCCTATGTTCTCTAGAGTTCTTTTTCCTTTTGTAGCCAATCTCTCATATGGTGTTCCCTTGTTATATAATTAATTTATTTTACTTTAAATTTTACCAGTTTAAACTTTGGGTGATTTTTGTTTTTTGATTGGATTCTGACAAATACAGAACTGATGCTAGGAAGGGTTCTGGGAGAAAGACCCACACAAATGGGATCTGGGCATAGGTTTGGTTATCCAAGGGGTAGCATTGAGCTCCTTGTCAATGGGAAATGGGATGCTGGTGATTTTTAGGAAGTGACCTCATAATGTTTCAAGCTACCACTTCCTGTTGATTGTGATGAAATGCCAGCTGAGACACATGCCATAGGAGCTAAGTGGCTTCTGTACTTGACCACTATGAAGACTGCTGTGGAGAGGGTCCTTTTGGATGCAGTGGAGCAGGGGCACCTAATCCCTGAATCACAGGCCTGTACTTGGCCACACAGCAGGAGGTGAGCAGCAGGTGGGCGAGCAAAGCTTCATCTGTATCTATGGCCACTCCCCTCTTTGCCACCTGATCTCCACCTCATGTCAGGTCAGTGGCAGCATTAGATTCTCATAGGAGCAGGAACCCTATTGTGTAACTGTGCATGCAAGGGTTCTACCTTGCTGTGTCTTTATGAGAATCTGATGCCTGATAATCTGTCACTATCTTTCATCACCCCCAGATGGGACCATCTAGTTGCAGGAAAACAAACAAGCCCAGGATTCCCACTGATTGTACATTATGGTGAGTTATATAATCATTATATGCTACAATGTAATAATTAAAAAGTACACAATAAACGTGATGTGCTTGAAATATTCCAAAACTGCCCCCTGCCTCCAGCCTGTGGAAAAATTGTCTTCCATAATATTGGTTCCTGGTGCCAAAAAAGCTGGGGACAGCTGCACTTGAGCACTCACAGAGAGAGAAACAAGCTCAAGTCTTAGCATAAGTCATGGTCTGAGATCCAGAGAGCTTCTGTGATGGCCCAAACACAATTCTTTATTTCTTGTTTCCACAGGGTTGATATTATTGAAAATCAAACTCAAACTTAAATGTGTGAATTGCTGAATTACAATGACAGTTGAATTCACTGCATCACCAAGTTTCTCATGAGAACCTGGGGGCACTAATAGGTGAAGAATGGGATTCTTTTTCATTTTGAGACCGTCTCCCTCTGTTGCCCAGGCTGGAGCACAGCGATGTGATCTTGGCTCACTGCAGTCTCAACCTCCCGGGCTTAAGCTATCCTCCTGCCTCAGCCTCTGGGGTAGCTGAGGTATGACCACAGGTATGAGCCACTACACCCAACTAATATTTTGTGTTTTGTAGAGATGTGGTTTTACCACATTGCTCAGTCTGATCTTAAACTCCTGGGCTCAAGACATCCACCCACCTTAGACTTGTAAAGTTTTGAGATTATAGGCAGCAGCCAGCATGCCTGGCCCTGTTTTCTTTGGTCCTGGTTTATTTTGAAGGCCTCCAATTGTCTTCCTGACTTCTAGGCTTGCTGACTTCAGCCTATTCACTGAAGCTAGAGGAATTTTTCTAAAAGGCAAATTTGGGTCAAAATGGTTCTTGATTAAAACCTGCTGGTGACTGCCCATTGCCTTTAAGATAAAATCAAACTAATTTGGCCACAGGGCCTGGTAAGAGCTGGCCTCAGTTTACCTTTCCAGTTTTATCCTGCACCACCCTCCCCATATCCTTACCCTCCAGCCACATGGAATGTCAGTTTCTTTGGGGGACTTTGCTGGTGTCCTTCAGGAAACCATCCCCTACCCTCATCATCACCCTTTGACTCTCATCTTTGCTCATCTTTAGCCTCAGCCGAGGTGTCTCACCCCATTCTCTATGATGCTACAAGAAGCCCCTTGGGAGCATTTCAGTCCCACTCTGTACTTCTGTCATTGTGCTCCTCACAGTCTGGTAAGTGTTGGCATACGATTGCTATATTAGTCTATTTTGCATTGTTATAAGCATACATATGAGGCTCAGTAGTTTATAAATAAAAAAGGTTGGCCAGGCACAGCAGCTCATGCCTGTAATCCCAGCATACTGGGAAGCCAAGGTGGGGGGATCACAAGGTCAAGGGATTGAGAGCATCCTGGCCAATATGGTGAAACCCCATCTCTACTAAAACACAAAAATTAGCTGGGCTTGCTGGTGCATGCCTGTAATCCCAGCTACTCAGGAGGCCGAGGCAAGAGAATTACTTGAACCCAGGAGGCGGAGGTTGCAGTAAGCCTACAGTGTGCTACTGCTTTCCAGCCTGGATGATAGAGTGAGACTTTATCTCAAAATAATAATCATTATCATAACAAACTTAGCTAGGTGTGGTGGTACATGCTTGTAATCCCAACTACTTGGGAGGCAAGATCACTTGAGCCCAGGAGATGGAATCTGCAGTGAGTCATAATCACCTCACTTTACTTCAAGCCTGTGTGACAGAGGTGAACTCTGTATCCGAAAAAGAAAATAGTCATTGGGGAAAAAAGACTAAACAAGCAAAGGTGTCAAGAGAGTCCTGTGAATGTGGGTCATGTCAGCAGAGTGTAGGGACTACTGGGCAGGAGGGACTTGAAGAACGGGGTGGTGGAGACAAGGTCATTCATCCTAAACAGTTTGCCCTGTAGCATGTAGATCAAATATCCCATGTTGGCTGCTGGTGACTGAACTGGGCTTCCTGTTTCTGTGTATGGTTTGACCATCACAATGTTGAAAAACCTTTGAAGTGAATACCTTGCCATTTGCTACAGTTCCTCCTGGGCTCTGGCATTACTCCAGCCTCCTTTCTTCATGTAGGTTGCCTGATCTGCTGAGACCTGTGTTTGCTCTCCCTGCAGATGGGTGGGTAGGAGGCAATTTAAGAAGAAACATTTAATATATGAGATTTTATATATGTATATATATATATGTGTGTGTGTGTATGTATATGTGTGTGGTGTGTGTGTATATATATATATATATATACGAAACTAAATAGACTGGGTGTGGTGGCTAAAGCCTATAATTCCAGTACTTTGGGGGGCCAAGGCAGGAGGATTAGTTCGATCTAGGAGTTCAAGACCAGCCTAGGCCACATAGTGGCCTTCTCTACAAAAAATTTAAAAAATTAGGCATGGTGGCATGCACCTGTAATCCCAGCTATTTGGGAGGCTGAAGTGGGAGGATCGCTTGAGCCCAGGAGTTGAAAGCTGCAGTGAGCTGTGATCTTGCCACTGTGCTCCAGTCTTGGTAACGGAGTGAGACCCAATCTCAGAAAAAAAAAGAGAGAGAGAGATAAATAGATCCAGCACTAGTGGGAGTATACCTTTGAGTGCTCTTTAGTAGAAAATTATATTTTAATATTTTGTTCTTCCTTAAATTTTTTATATTCTAGAAAACCATTTCTTCAACAAGGAGAAATAAATGTCATCCAAAGAGCCCTAGGAGCAAGGGCAGACTCAGAAAGTCAGAAGCACTGTAGTCATTTTGAGCAGCTTCTACGTCTGCTAAGCTGGCAGTGCCAGGTTGGGTCCATTTTTTCTCCTCTTTAATTTCTTAAACTGAAAGAGTCTTGCTAGAATCTGAAGTCAGATCTGTAGGTGAGCATTGAGTCAGCAGTTTGCTATGTTGTGAGGTCTTACCCCAGGAACTACAGAATACAAAATGCAAGAGAAAGCTGGAATAGAGCATCTCTCGGGGAAATGAGAGCCAGAGATACGGCAGTGCCCCATGGAGACAGCCAGCTGTTATTTGGCAGTGCCTTGTGGAAAGGCTGTACTTTGGTTAGATCTCCACAATCTGGAATGTGACCTTCAATATTTTTAGTCCACAAACTCCAGTTTCTCAGTTTTGCTGCATAGGTCAGTGTTGTAGGGAGTGGTTCATCTAAGCAGAATTTCCTGGTTTTCATGGCAGGTGTTCCATTTGTTAATTGACAAAGGAGGCATATTTCTCCTCTGGTAACCAGAAGATTTATGTCCTTTCCCTCGGGACTCCCTTGAAGGTTCTTGGGAAACTATGCGGAGGATTAGGAAAGGCTGTGAACACGCTGATCCCTTCCTGTCCTACAAAAGAGCACACCTCTTCTATAACCGGAAGACCCTTTTCATTAGTCAAGGCTGGACAGACTGAGGGGTGTGTGTGTGTGTAGACATGGTCTCACTCTGTCACCCAGGCTGGAGTGTAGTGGTGAGATCATTGCTCACAGCAGCTTCCACTTCCTGGGTTCAGCTGTTCTCCCACTTAAGCCTCCAGGGTAGCTAGGACTATAGGAATGTGCTGCCATACCCAGCTCATTTTTTCTTTTTTTTTGTAGAGATGAGGTTTCACTGTGTTGCCAAGGCTGGTCTTAAACTCTTGGCCTCACGGGATCCTCCTGTCTTAGTCTCCCAGTGGGCTGGGATTATAGATGTGAGGCACCTCACCTGACCTGTGATTAGCTTTTGACAATGTCATTCCTTTTTTACAGAAGCACCTAAGCTGAACAGTCCCTTGAGAAGAAGTACTATCCTGTGGTTTCATAACCTTTCTTCCATTTGTGGTTCTTCCCGAGTTAAATTTAAAGTGCATCTTACCAAGATGGATAAACCCAAGTTTTCCAGAGCTGGAATATAGAAAATGGATGGACATATAAGTCCCACTCACCCATAGCCAAGGCATGGAGACCTGAACACACCTGGGCCCTAGACATCACCTTTCATTGTGAGTAGCTCTGAGATAACACTTCTGGTTGGTAAGTGCCCACTGGCAATAGTTTATGTAACAGCAAGTGAAGGAATAAAGAGTCAACAAAATATTTTCTGTTCCCAATTCTAGCATTAATTTGATTAGATAATTATTCTATGAAGAATTTTCATATGCCACAGTTCTGATCAACATCTCAAGTGAACTGAAAAATTATATTTAAAAGTCAACCTTCTTTCTCACTCTGTTGCCGAGACTGGAGTGCAGTGGTGCAATTACGGCTCACTGCAGCCTCAACCTCCTGGGCTAAAGCAGTCCTTCCTCAGCCTCACAAGTAGCTGGGACTACAGATGCTTGCATGGATTTTGGTATACGTGGATATTGGGCAGCAGGAACCAATCTCTCCATATACCAAGGGACAAATTGTATCTGTTTTGTTTTGTTTTTGAGACAGTCTTGCTCTGTTGCCTAGGCTGGAGTGCAGTGGCACAATCTCAGCTCACTGCCACCTCCACCTCCCAGAGTTAAGAGTAGGCTAAGATTACAGGTACCTGCTATTATGCTGAGCTAATTTTTGTATTTTTGTAGAGACAGGGTTTCATTATGTTGGCCAGACTGGTCTTGAACTCCTGACTTCAGGTGATCTACCTGTCTTCAACCTCCCAAAGTGCTGGAATTACAGCTGTGAGTCACTGTGCTGGGACTTTTTTTTTCTTTTTGAGATGGAGCTTTGCTCTTTTCTCCCAGGCTGAGAGCAATGGTGCACTCTCAGGTCACCACAACCTCCACCTCCCAGGTTCAAGTGATTCTCCTGCCTCAGCTTTCTGAGTAGCTAGGATTACAGGCACCACCACACCTGACTAATTTTGTATTTTTTAGTAGAGATGGGGTTTCTCCATGTTGGTCAGGCCACCCTGACCTCAGGTGATCCACCTGCCTTGGCCTCCCAAAGTGCTGGGATTACAAGTGTGAGCCACCGCACCCAGTCTCTATGTGTTTTTACAATTATGCTGTTAAATACATGATGTTCCATGACAGTGGTAAATTTTTAATGACAATTTTTGAGTGGAATTACCATAAAAATAATAAAAGTAGCAGCTAATATTTACTGAGCTGTTACTAGGTGCCTATAAATACCATAGATTTTTAAATTCCCCATAATTCTTCCTTATTTGCCTAACCGCTCTGTCTTAAATTACTCGTGCTTGCTTCAGTAGCACATATCCTAAAGTTGGAACAATAGAGAGATTGGCATGGCCTCTGTGCAAGAATGACATTCAAATTTGTGAAGTGTTCCATATGTTTTTAAAACAGAAAAATATTACTCCTAGATTTTCACTATTTGTGCATATGACCTTTTGTTGAGGTTGAATTGTATCCGAAGATGATATTTCCAGAAATGAGATTACTGTGAGTCACAAGACATTAGCATTCTTATTATACTTGATGTAAACTGCCGAGCTTTCAGGCATGGTGGCTGTCGGCCTAAAATTCCAGCACTGTGGGAGGCTGAGGTAGGAGGATCGCTTGAGGCCAGGAGTTGGAGGAGGCAGTACAGTGAGTCACTGTATCCTATTTTAAAAATTTCCAAGCTTTACCCTGGTGGAAGGCTTGTATACAATTTAAACATCACTAATAGTAAAAGAAAATGCCCATTTCACTGAACCTTTGCTGGCATGGGGTACAATAACAAGTTATTTTTTGTTTGATTATTTTTAGTAAATAAAAGACCTCACTAATACTTTATTTTTGTTACATTTTAATATATATTTTCTTATATTAGTTTATTAGCTTTCTTTTTCTTTCTTTCTTTTTCAGATGAAGTTTCACTCTTGTTGCCTAGGCTGGAGTGCAACGGCACAATGTCTGCTGACTGCAACCTCCTTCTGTTGGATTCAAGCCATTCTCTTGCCTCAGTCTGCAGAATAGCTGGAATTACAGGCATGTGCCACCATACCTGGCTAAGTATTTTTAATAGAGACAGGGTTTCTCCATGTTTTTCAGGCTGGTCTCGAACTCCGTACCTCGTGATCCAACTGACTCAGCCTCCCAAAATGCTGGGATTAGAGGTGTGAGCTGTTGTGCCCAGCTAGCTTTTTTTTTTGCTCCCCCTCCTTTTTTGGGAGACCAAGTCTCACTCTAGCCCAGACTTGAGTATGGTGGTACAGTCTCGACTCAACTGCAGCCTTGACCTCCTGGGCTCAGGTGATCCTTCCACCTCAGTAACTGGGACTTTAGGCACATGCCACCATGTCTGGCTAATTTTTTTGATTTTTAATAGAGGCGAGGTCTTGCTATGTTTCCCAGTCTGGTCTGGAATTCCTGGCCTCAAGCAATTCTCCGACTGCCCCCTTCCAAAGTGCTACTATTATAAGCATCAGCCACCAAGGTTGGGCTGTCCATGTCTTTTCTGTTTATTTGTAGTGTTAACATGTCTTTTACTAATTAGATGATCTATATATTTAATCTTTTATTAAATTATAAAAATAGCAAATACTTTTAAATGAAGAAGTGAAAAATTTCCTTTACTCTTTAGACCCATAATCTTATCTCAGGAAATAATTGGCCATATTCTTTAAATAGGTATGGGCTGATTGAATATCACTTCTCATTTTCATATTTCGTTGACATCTGTGTCAATTTCTATTGATGTATCTGAATCCTTTTCATGGTTGGCTAATGTTTTATTATATGGATATATCACAGTTGACCAGTCTATAGCCATTTAGGCTCCTTCTAATATTTGTTTTGAGCTCTTTATGTCATTAAAAATTAACCTCCTCAGCAGGTGTGGCAGCTCACACCTGTAATCCCAGCACTTTGGAAGGCTGAGGTGGGAGAACTGCTTGAGGGAAAAGGATCACCACTAGCCTTGTCGACATAGCAGCACATTTTCTCTAATAAACATTAAAGATAACGTGAGCTGGACATTGCGGTCCACACCTGTAATCCCAGCTACTGGGGAGTCTGAGACTGGAGGATCACTTGAGCCTAGGAGGTCGAGGCTGCAGTAAGCTGTGATCACACCACTGCACTCCAGCTTTGGTAACAGTAAGAATGTGTTTCTTAAATAAAGTAAAAATTAGGTTGGAAGATTGCTGAAGTTCTGGAGGTTGAGGCTGCAATGAGCTGTGATTGTACCACTGCGGTCCAGCCTAGGGAATAGAGCAACATTGTTTCTCAAAAAAGTAAAATACAATAAAAATTAACCCTTTAGCATATTTCCCAGTAACACCTTCCCTCTTGTGTTTTTCCTAGAAGCTCTTGAATTTTGTTTGCTTTTCACATATCTTTTAAAACTTTTATGGGATTGCCTGATTCCTTCTTTTATTTTTAAAGAATGTCTTTTTGTCACTTCCAGCTGGATCTACCATGAAAGACATCAGAGTTCAGGAGGAGACTGGGCATCATGTTATTCAGGTACAAAAAACTTGGACGATAACTCAAAAATGATCAAGCAATAGTGCATGTGTCAAGTGCAATGGGAAGCTCTTCTGGAGAGTAGGAGAAGCTTCCAGATAAGGTGACAGTGAAACTGGCTTTTGAAAGATGAGGAAGAGTTGTGTGAGAGTAGGGAGCGAAGGGGGATGTGGAGGGATGGGGAATGGTCAGGGAAACCAGCACTTTAAAGACCTGGACAATTAAGATGGTGCATCTGGTTTAGGGAATGGGGAATTAAGTGTGGCAGGAATGCTTTGGAGAGACAGTAATTTGCTTGTATGGAATTTTGCCTGAGAGACCTCACTACAGTTTCTAATCTGGTGATGTTATCATCCATCACTGTCCCTGTCAGATAGTTTGGAATAGGTGTGATGATCACAGTAACATCAAGCATAATAGTTCATGAATTCTCACAAAATCACAGGCAGGTACCAGATATCCCCATTTCCTGCATGAGGTGATACAGACTTAGGGATAATGAGTGATTTGCCCAAGCTCACATGGATATTAAGCTGAGTCAGATGTAGGGACTGGTTTGACTTTAATGCTTGCTCTTTTCATGAGCACCATGTATTGCTTCTCCTATGCAGTTAGGCAGGTAGGTGAAAGAAAAGCCCGTGTTTCGCTCGTCACACACTTTGACTGACTGACTGTGTGTGTGGAGCTTATACACCAAATTCTCTAGTGTTCTGGATATTAACTGGGTATCCCACAATGTTATTCTGACACTACCTGGAGCTGGTGCAGACCCTGCAGGTTAGGCATTTAGTCCCATGAGACTGCCCTCACTTCAGATGCCAATGGCAAGTATTAGGTTTTCACCTGTACTTTTGACCAACCTATTACAAATCAGGGGTTCTCATGACCCCCTTCTTTGATTTAATCATTTGCTGGAACAGCTTATAGAACTCAGAAAAACAGTTTATTTTCTTTTTTTCTGAGAGACAGGGTCTCATTTTGTTTCCCAGGCTGGTGTGCAGTGTTGCAGTCATAACTCACTGCAGCCTCAACTGACTGGGCCCAAGTGGTCCTCCTTCCTTCCTAGTAGCTGAGACTGCATGCCTGCACCACCACATCTGGCTAATTTAATTATTTATTTTTTTAGCGATGGGATCTTTTGTTGCCCAGGCTGGCCACAAATTCCTGGGCCCAAGTGATCTTCACACCTCAGTCACTTAAAGTGCTGGGATTACAGATGTGAGCCACCACATCTGGTGAGTTCATTTCCTATTTTTGATTCACTGTAAAGGATATGTCTCAGAAACAGCCAGTGAAAGCGATGTGCATGCTCGATGCAGTGGTTCATGCCTGTGATCCCAGCACTTCGGGAGGTTGAGTTGGGAGGATCACTTAAACACAGGAGTTTGAGTTCAGCCTGGGAAACATGGTGAAACTCTCTCTCTATAAAAAATACAAAAATTAGCTGGGCATGTTGATATGCACCTGCAATTCCAGCTACTCAGGAGGCTGAGGCAGGAGAATCACTTGAACCCAGTATGCAGAGGTGGCGGTGAGCTGAGATCACACTACTGCACTTTAGCCTAAGCTGCTGAGCAAGGTTTTTTCTCAAAAAATAAATGAAAATAAATAAATAACTAGGTGTGGTGGTGTGCACCTGTTGTTCCAGCTACTAGGAAAGCTGAGGTGAGGATGCATTGAGCTGGGGACTGGGGAAACTTAGGTTGTGGTGAGCTGAAATTGTGCCACTGCACTCTAGCCTGGACAAAAGAGCCAGACCCTGTCTTCAAAAAAAAAGAAAGAGGAGAAAGAAAGGAAGGAAAGGGAGAAAGAAATGAAAGAAAGATGGATGCCCAGGGGAAGGTAAGTGGGATGTACACAGAGCTTCCATGCCCTCTGTTCAACATGCCGCCCTCCCAGGACCTCCTGTATTCAGCAACCAGAAGCTCTGCAAACCCTGTTGCTCAGGGTGTTTACAGAGCCTCTATTATGCAAGCCTGATTGATAAAATCTTTGGCCATTGGTAATTAAGTCAATCTTCAGCCACTCACACCTTTTGGAGTTCAGCAGGTGAGGCTAAAAGTTCTAAGCCTCTAATCATGTGATTGCTTTCTCTGGCAATCAGCCCTCCTCCTGAAGAAATCCAGGAGTGTGCAGCCACCCAGTCATCTCAACCACATCCCCAAATGCATTCTTAGCATGCTGAAGATTCCAAAGTTCTTAGAGTCTCTTGTGTTAGAAAGCTGGGACCAAGACCAAATATTAAAAGTAAAGATGCTCCTATCACCTCTATCACTGAGGTCTTTATAAGCATTCAAAGCTCTGTGCCAGGAACCAGGGACAGAGAGCAAATATATATTTATTTTGTTTTTTTTTTTGAGACAGACTCTTCCTGTGTCATCCAGGCTGGAGCACAGTAATATGATCATAGCTCACGATAGCTTTGACCTCCTGAGCTCAAGTGATCTTCCCACCTCAGACTTCAGAGTAGCTGGGACTACACATGCATGTCACCCATGCCGAGCTCATTTTTGTAGAGACAAGATTTAGTTATGTTGCCCAGGCTGATCTCAAACTCCTGGGCTAAAGCTGTTATTTCACCTCAGCCTCTCAAGTAGCTGGGACTGCAGGTGCACACCACTATGTCTGGCTAACATTAATTTTTATGCTTTTGTAGAGGTGGGATCTCACTATGTTTGTTGTTCAGGCTAGTTTCAAACTCCAGGCCTTAAATGTTCCTCCCGCCTTGACTTCCCAAAGTGTTGGGGTTATGGGTGGGATCCACCATGCCCAGCAGCCACAAAGATCCTTATAAAAGAAAGAGGTTAGAAGAGTGAGAATTGGAGCAGGAGATGTGTTGGTGGAAGCAGAGTTAGAGAGGGAGATTTGCAGATGTTTCACTTCTGGCTTTGAAGATGGAGTTAAGGGCCACGATCCAAGGAATGGGAGTGGCTTCTAGAAGCTGGAAAAGCCAAGGGAATATTTTAGAGCCTCCAGATGGAATGCAGCCCTGCTGACACCTTAACTTTAGCCTTAATAGACCTAATTTGGGCTTCTGATTCCCAGAAGTGTAAGTTGGTAGATTTGTGGTGTTTTAAGGGACTAATGTAGGGTAGTTTATGGTAGCAGCAAGAGGAAATAAACCTGACGCCAAGCATCGTGTGTGATGTTGGTAATCCCAGCACTTTAGGAATTTCGGCAGGAGGATCACTTGAGGCCAGGAGTCCAAGATCAGTCTGGGCAACATAGTGAGACCCTGTCTCTACAAAAAATTAAATTGACCGGGTGTAGTGGCTCACTCATGTAATCCTAACACTTTGGGAGGCCAAGGATCACCTGAGGTCAGGCGTTCGAGACCAGCCTGGTCAACATGGCAAACCCACATCTCTACTAAAAATAAAAAAATTAGCCAGGCATGGTGGGACACACCTGTGATCCCAGCTACTTGGGAGGCTGAGGCTGAAGAATCACTTGAACCTGGGAGGTGGAAGTTGCAGTGAGCTGGGATTGCACCATTGCACTCAAGTTTGGACAAGAAGAGTGAAACTTCATTTCAAAATAAAACAAATTAGCCAGGCATGATGGCATGCACCTATCGTTCCAGCTACTAGGGAGTCTTGAGGTGGGAGGATCAGTTGAGCCTAGGAATTCGAGGTTGCAGCGAGCTGTGATTGCACCACTCCACTCCAGCCTTGGTGATAGAGTTAGATCTTGTTTAACAAAAAAAACGAAATGGTGGGAGTGGGGACAGATGGCAATGTTAAATAAAAAGATCAGGGGTGGCCTCCTAAGTGGAAATTGATCAAAGACTTGGAGGGGAAGGAGCTGGTCGAGGTGCTGAAGGAGGAGCATTGTGGGCAGAAACAACAGAATAAAGTGTCTGAGGCTCTGGAAGGAGGCCAGTGGAGCAGGAGATGGGGAGAGAATTAGGGGAGGAGGCCATGGAGTTGCTGGGTGGGGATCAGTATAGATCGTACAAGTTCTGGGAGGTTATTGCTGGGGCTTTGGCTTTTACTATGAAATGGGAACTTTGGGAGGGTTCTGAGCAGAGAGGCGACATGATCTGTCTCCTGATGTAAAAGCATTCTCTGGCTGCTGAGTTGAGAAAGACTGTGGGAAGGGTGGAAGCATGGGGGTCAAACTGTGGTAACATCCAGGTGGAAGATGATAGTGGTCCTGACCAGGGTCATGGTGGTGGTGAGAGTTGGTCAGAGGAGAGAAGTAGGGGAGGAGTCCAGGGAGTTGCTAGGTGGGGATCTTCAGTACATGGTGAAGACAATGAACAGGATTTCCTGACAAACTGGATGTGGGGTGTGAGAGAAGGCAGGGGTCGAGGTTGAGTTTGATTCTTATTGAATTATTAAGTAAAATTTTAAAACTCTACTGCCTTTCCCAGTGTTACCAAATATGGGATGCTAGATTAAAGAAATCTCTTCAGGTGCAGTGCAGTGGCTCACGTCTGTAGTCCCAGATGTTTGGGAAGCAGAGATGGGAGTATCTTTTAAGGGCAGAAGTTCAAGACCAGCCTGGGAAACATAGCAAGACCTCCTCTCTACAAAAATATTTTTCAAAATTTAATAAAATAAATGTAGCTAGGCATGGTGATGTGTACTTGTAGTCTCAGCTATTCAGGAGGCTGAGGTGGGCAGATCTCTTGAGGTCAGGAGTTTGAGGCCAGCTTGGGCAACATAATAAGACTCCGCACTCTACAAGAAAAATAAAAAATTAGCCAGGTATGATGGCACTCAACTGTAGTACCAGCACTGGGGAGCTGAGGTAGGAAGATGGCTTGAGCCGAAGACATTGAGGCTGCAGTGAGCTATAAGTGCACAGCTGCACTCCAGCCTGGGTGACAAAGAAGGACCTTGTCTCACAATACAAATAAAGTAATGAAATCTCAAGTCAGAGCCTTTTGGCTCTGCAGCCCTTGCAACCCTGGAGCCATGCAGTGGGGTTTTTATCACTGGGAATGAAGAGACCCCTGCCCAGTGTTGTTGCCTGACTAATCAGTGTTTTAAAAAACATGTTAATCGGGCCGGGTGCAGTGCATTTTCAACACTTTGGGAGAATGAGGTGGGTGGATTACGTGAGGTCAGGAGTTCAAGACCAGCTTTGCCAACATGGCAAAACCTTATCTCTATTTTTTTTTCTTATTTTTTTCATATCTCTATTAAAAAACAAAGATTACTTTGGGAGGCCGAGGCAGATGGATCACAAGGTCTAGAGATCGAGACCATCCTGGTCACCAAGGTGAAACCCTGTCTCTACTAAAAATACAAAAAATTAGCTGGGTACGGTGGCACGTGCCTGTAATCCCAGCTGCTCAGGAGGCCGAGGCAGGAGAATTGCCTGAACCCAGGAGATGAAATTGCGGTGAGCCAAGAACATGACATTGCACTCCAGCCTGGGTAACAAGAGCAAAACTCCGTCAAAAAAAAAAAAAGAAGAAAGAAAGAAAGAAAGAAAGAAAAACGAGACAAAAATACAAAGATTAGCCAGGCATGGTGGCAGGTGCCTGTAATCCAAGCTACTTCAGAGGCTGAGACAGGAGAATCCTTTGAACCGGGAGGTGGGGCAGAGATTGCAGTGAACCGAGGTTACATGCTTCATTCCAGTTTTGGGGAAAGAGCGAGACTGTCTCAAAGAAACAAAAGGATTACTTATATTACTACTTAATAATTTTATTATTATTGTTTAAGATGGAGTTTTGCTCTTGTTACCTAGGCTAGAGTGCAATGGCATGATCTTGACTCACTGCAAACTATGCCTCCCGGGTGTAAGCAGTTCTCCTGCCTCAGTCTCTCAAGCAGCTGGGATTACAGGTGCCTGCCACCACACCTGGCTAATTTTGTATTTTTTAGTAGAGACAGGGTTTCAGCATGTTGGAGGGCTAGTCTCAAACTCTTGACCTCAGGTGATCCACCCACCTCAGCCTCCCAAAGTGCTGGGGTTATAGGCATGAGCCATCTCGCCCAACCAGTTTTATTATTAATAGGTAATGGATAAAATATTTTAAAATGTTTGTTTTATATTAGTTATAATAACATGTAATGTTTTTTATTATTAACATGTAATGAATAAAAATGTTTTTAAAAGTTCATTTTATTTTTTAACTTTAATTATTTATGTAAAGAAAAAGTCTTAGAAATCTTACATAAAGTTAAAAAATGTAACGGGATGCTAGACCCCAAAAGATTTAGAAGCATTACTCCGAGAACTTCTAGTTTAGAAATATTCAGAGTAAGCCACATACAACTTGCTATGTGATCCATTTTTTTTTCTTTTAGGATATGGGGTCTCTGTCACCTAGACTGGAGTGCAGTGGTGCAATCACAGGTCACTGCAGGCTTGCACTCCTGAGCTAAGGATCCTCCTGCCACAGCCTCCTGAGTAGCTGGGACTGTAGCTATATATGATGACACCTGGTTAATTTTTAAATGTTTTCATACACATTGGATCTCACTTTGTTGGTCAGGCTGGTGTCAAACTCCTGGCCTCTAGTGACTTTTCCACCCCTGCCTCCCATCCTATAGGCATGATCCACCACAAGGAGCACTTGTTCAATTTTCTAAAAAAATAAAAATTTCTAAAGTAAGCCTGTGGCAGGAAGATAAAAGTAAAAAACAGAACACATTCTAATGATTTATTCCCACATATTCTTTTGAAAGCAAGGACTTTTAGTAGACACATTGTTTACAAAGGCAAAGAAACAATGTTTTACAGGTACTTCAACACACACTGTAATGTTCTTACTTGTCTGACATCGGTTCTTTTTTGTATTTTTAGTAGAGACGGGGTTTCACCATGTTGACCAGGATGGTCTCGATCTCCTGACCTCGTGATCCAACTGCCTCAAGTCAAGCTCTTCAGGCCCACCTTGAGCCTTCCGATGACCTGGACAGGCCCAGCTCTTTCCTCCCAGTGGCCTCTGCAGGCCTAGCTTTTGCCTCACAGGTATTCCTTGAACTGGTTTCTACTTGCCTCCTGGTAGCCTTGACAAGCCCAGGTGTTGCCTCACTCTAACCTCATTAGGACCAGCTCACAGTGGCCTCTCCAGACCCAGCATCTGTCCCCTGACAGGCTGTCCAGGCCAAAACTTCTAGTCACCCTCTTCAGGCACAGCTTCTGTCTCACACTGGACTCTTTAGGTACAGCTCATGCCTTTGGGCGGCCTCTTGAGGCCCAGTTCCTGCATCTTTGTGGCCTCTCCGTACTGACAGATTTCTCAAATCTGCCATTCCAGGTCCAACTCCTGCCTCCAGTCGGCCCCAATAGGCTTAAACTCTGCCTCACAGCAGACACCCCAGGCCAAGCGTGTGCCTCACCACAGTGCCCCCAGGCCAAGCTCCTGCCTTTCGGCAGCATCTGCAGGCCCAGCTAATGCCTCCCAATGGCCTGTCTAGGTGAAGCTCATGCATCACAACGGCCATTCTGATCAAGCTTTTACTTTTTGGCAGTGTCTCCAGGCCCAGAACTTCCTTATAATGTCCAGCTCTTCCTCCCAGTTGCATCTCCAGGACCAACTCCTGCCTGACACCCTCCTTTGGATCAGCTACACAGCTCTTGGTGGCCTTTGTAGGCCAAAAACTTTCTCAACTCAAGTTACCCAGCAGAAACTTCTGAGGAACAATGGCTTAAACAGGCATAGCTACTGGATGACAATAGACTCTCCAGGACCAACTCTTACCTCATGAAGGTTTCCCTGGCAAAGCTCTTGCCGGCCTCCCAGCAGCCTTGAGAGGCCCAGCTGCTGCCTGACACTGACTTCATTAGGCCAAGCTCCTACCCACTAGGTGGCCTCTCTAGGCTCAAAACTTCCTCATATGGGCCCCTTCTGGGCCAGCTCCTGCCTCCCAATGGCCCCCTTGGACCCTGTCGGCCTCTCCAGGAGACCCAGCCTCTGATCACTCCTGGTGGCATCCTCAGGCTTGGCTCCTACTCCTGGCCATGTCTACAGGCCCATGTCCTACCTCCCAACAACCTCTTTTGACTCGGCTCCTGACCAGCTCCCGGTGGCCTGGACAGGCCGAGCTACCACCTGACAATATCCTCTCCAGGGCCAGATCTGGCATCCCTGCAGCCTCCTTATGATGAGCTGCTACCTGCCAATGGCTTCCCCAGGCCAAGATCCTGACTGCCTTCCTGCCTGCATCCTGCCTCCACAGGCCCACTACCTCCCTCACAGTGGCCACTGGGGCCCAGCCCGTGCCTGTGGCAAACCTCTCTGGACCCAGCTCTCACCTCACGCTGGCCTCGGTCTAGGCCCAGGTCCTCCCTCGCAGCGGCCTTCCTCAGCCCAGCTCACCTATCATCGTCTCTACTAGGCCAGCTCCTGACTCTTGGTGGCCTGTCCAGGCCCGAAGGTTCCTCTCCGGGCCCAGCCTCTCCAGGCCTGGCTCCTGCCTGCGCTAGGCCCCTCTGGGCCCAGCCTCCACCTAACAGTGGACCCTCCAGACCCAGCTTGTGGCCTCATCGTGGCCTGCACTCAGCCCAGCTCCTGCCTCTGTGGCAGCCTGTCTCCACAGGCCCAGCTCCTGGCCTCCTGGTGGCCCCCTCGGGCCAAACCGGTGCCCCCAGGCAGCCCTCTGTGCCTAGCGTTGGCCTTCTGGCATCCTCTCCTTGTCCAGAATGTCAGCCTCTTTGGTCCCAGCCCCTCCTTCTGGCGGCTTCTTAGGGCCAACCTTTCGTTCTCGCCTCGCAGCAACCTCTGTGGCTCGGTTCCTCCCTAGCTCCTGGAGGCCTTTATAGGCCCAAAAGCTCAGGCCCTTGACTCAGGCTCTCCAGGACTACCCAGCTCATGCCTCATGCTGGCCTCTCCAGGCTCAGGTTCTGCCCACCCAGGGTTCCTATAGGCCCCAGATGTCCCAGAGTCGGCTTCTTCAGGCCCGGTTTCGGACTCCTCCTATTGGCTTCTGCAGGCCCAAACATTGGGTTCTCAATTCGGCCTCTCCAGGCCCAGCTCCAGTTCTCCTGGTGTCTCCTCCCCATGGGTGCAAACGTCATCATGTGGGTTCTTCTAGGGCCAGCTCATGCCTCCCAAAGGCCCCCTGGGCTTAGCTCCTGCCTTCCATCAGCCTCTCCTGAAGGCCCAGCATCTGCCTCTGTACTGGCGGCCTCTCAAGGCCTGGATCCTCCTCCTGGCCACGTCTACGGGCCCAAGTTTTGCCCCCGGCAGCCTCTTTTTTTTTTTTTTTTTAAGAGATGGAGTTTTGCTCTTGTTTCCCAGGCGTGGGTACAATGAAGTGATCTCGGCTCACCTCAACCTCCGCCTTTTGGGTTTAGGCAATTCTGCCTCAGCCTCCTGAGTAGCTGGAGTTACAGGCACGCGCCACCATACCCAGCTAATCATTTTCTTTTTTTTTTTGAGACAGAGTTTCGCTCTTGTTACCCAGGCTGGAGTAGAATGGTGCGATCTTGGCTCACCGCAAACTCTGCCTCCTGGGTTCAGGCAATTCTCCTGCCTCAGCCTCCTGAGTCGCTGGGATTACAGGCACCCGCCACTGTGCCCAGCTAATTTTTTTTTTTTTTTGAGATGGAGTTTTGCTCTTGTTGCCCAGGCTGGAGTGCAATGGTGTGATCTCGGCTCACCGCAACCTCTGCCTCCTGGGTTCAGGCAATTCTCCTGCCTCAGCCTGCTGAGTAACTGGGATTACAGGCACACACCACCATGGCCAACTAATGTTTTTTTTTCTTTTTGAGACGGAGTTTTGCTCTTGTTCCCCAGGCTGGAGTGCAGTGGTGCAATCTCGGCTCACTGCCACCTCTCCCTCCTGGGTTCAGGCAATTCTCCTGCCTCAGCCTGCTGAGTAGCTGGGATGACAGGCACGCACCACCATACCCAGCTAATTTTTTGTATTTTTAGTAGAGACGGGGTTTCACCATGTTGACCAGGATGGTCTCGATCTCCTGACCTCGTGATCCACCCGCCTCGGCCTCCCAACGTGTTGGGATTACAGGCGTGAGCTACTGTGCCTGGTCCCCAGCAGCGTCTTTTGGCTCGGCTCCTGGCCAGCGCCCGGAGGCCTTTCATCTGTCAGCCCAAAGCTTCCTCAGTGTCCCTTCTGTTGAGGCCACTGGGAGGCAGAAGGGACGCCCTGAAGGCCCCACCTGAGGAAGCTTTGGGCCGACAGATGAAAGGCCTCTGGGAACTGGCCAGGAGTCAAGCCAAAAGAGGCTGCCAGGGGCAAAACTTGGGCCTGTAGATGTGGCCAGGAGGGGGGTGCCAGGCCTGGTGTGGCTGCCAGTAGGGAGACAGAGGCTGGGGCTCCTGGAGAGGCCGTGTGATGGGAATCAGGACCTGGGCCCCATGGGGCCACTGGGATGCAGGACCTAGCCCCGGAGGGGACCACGTGATGATGTATTGCGCCCACGTTGGGGGGTGCCACCAGGAGGGCAGGAGCTGGACCTGCAGACACGGACTTCATGACCCAATGCTTGGGCCTCCCGAGGCCAGCGGGAGGACAAAGCAGGACTGGGCCTCAGGGCTGAGCTCTGGAGTCCCCCCAGCCTCCCCAGCCCCAGCTGCTGCCTGCTGGCTGCTTCCGCAGGCCAAGATCCTGCCTGCCTGCATCCTGGCTGCCTCCACAGGCCCAGCGCCTCCCTCACACTGGCCAGTTGAAGCTCAATTCATGCCTTTGCAGTACATCTCTGGAGCCAGCTCTCGGCTGGTGCTGGCCTTGAGTCTGGACCCAGGCCCTCCCTCGCACCAGCCTTTCTTGGCCCAGCTCGCCTCTCATAAATGCTCTGGCCAGCTCCTGCCTCCCAGCGGCCTGTCCAGGCCCGAAGCTTCCTCTTTGGGCCCCGCCTCTCTGGGCCCAGCCTCCGCCTCTCAGTGGACCCTCCAGACCCAGCTTGTGGCCTCATCATGGCCTCTGCTCAGCTCAGCTCCTGCCTCTGTCTTCACAGGCCCAGCTTGTAGCCTCCTGGTGGCCCCCTCGGGCCAAACTGGTGCCCCAGGCGGCCCTTCCATGCCCAGCGTTGGCCTTCTGGCATCCTCTCCTTGTCCAGAGTGTCTTCAGGTCAGCCTCTTGGGGCCCAGGCCCTCCTTCCGGCGGCTTCTAAGGGCCAATCTTCCATTCTCGCCTCGCAGCAACCTCTGTGGACTCGGCTCCTCCCCAGCTCCCGGAGGCCTTTGTAGGCCGGAAAGCTCAGGCCCTCAACTCAGGCTCCTCAAGACTACCCAGGTCATGCCTCACGCTGGCCTCTTCAGGCTCAGCTTCTGCCCAGCCAGGGTTCCTATCGGCCCCAGATGTCCCAGAGTCGGCTTCTCCAGGCCCGGGTCTGGCCTCCTCCTATTGGCTTCTGCAGGCCCAACCACTGGGTTCTCAATTCGGCCTCTCCAGGCCCAGCTCCAGTTCTCCTGGCATCTCCTCCCCATGGGTGCAAAACGTCATCACATGGGCCCTTCTAGGGCCAGCTCATGCCTCCCAAAGGCCCCCTGGGCTTAGCTCCTGCCTCCCATCAGCCTCTCCTGGAGCCCCATTCGCTGCCTCCATACTGGTGGCCTCTGCAAGCCTGGATCCTCCTCTTGGCCATGTCTACGGGCCCAAGTTTTGCCCCTGGAAGCCTCTTTTTTTTTTTTTTTGAGATGGAGTTTTTCTTTTGTTACCCAGGCGCGAGTGCAATGACCTGATCTCGGCTCACCTCAACCTTTGCCTCTTGGGTTCAGGCAGTTCTCCTGCCTCAGCCTCCTGAGTAGCTGGGATTACAGGCATGCACCACCATGCCCAGCTAATTTTTTGTATTTTTTTTTTTTTTTTTGAGATGGAATTTTGCTCTTGTTACCCAGGCTGGAGTAGAATGGTGTGATCTCAGCTCACCACAACCTCCGCCTTTTGTGTTCAGGCAATTCTCTTTCCTCAGCCTCCTGAGTAGCTGGGATTACAGGCACGCCCCACCGTGCCCAGCTAATTTTTTTTTAATTTTATTTTTGAGATGGCGTTTTGCTCTTGTTGCCCAGGCTGGAGAGCAATGGCACGATCTCAGTTCACCACAATGTCCGCCTCCTGGGTTCAGGCAGTTCTCCTGCCTCAGCCTCCTCAGCAGCTGGGATTACAGGCACACACCACCATGCCCAGCTAATTTTTTGTATTTTTTTTTGAGACCTATTTTCACTCTTGTTACCCAGGCTCGAGTAGAATGGTGTGATCTCGGCTCACCACAACCTCTGCCTTTTGGGTTCAGGCAATACTCCTTCCTCAGTCTCCTGAGTAGCTGGGATTACAGGCACGCCCCACCGTGCCCAGCTAATTTTTGTTTTTTTTTTGAGATGGAGTTTCGCTCTTGTTGCCCAGGCTGGAGTTCAATGGAACGATCTTCGTTCACCGCAATGTCCGCCTCCTGGGTCAGGCAATTCTCCTGCCTCAGCCTCCTGAGCAGCTGGGATTACAGGCACACACCACCATGCCCAGCTAATTTTTTGTATTTTTAGTAGAGACGGGGTTTCACCATGTTCACCAGGATGGTCTTGATCTCCTGACCTCGTGATCCACCCATCTCGGCCTCCCAAAGTGCTGGGATTATAGGCGTGAGCCACTGCGCCTGGTCCCCAGCAGCATCTTTTGGCTCAGCTCCTGGCCATCTCCTGGAGGCGTTTCATCTGTCGGCCCAAAGCTTCCTCAGGTGGCACCTTTTGGGCATCCCTTCTGCCTCCCAGTGGCCTCAACAGAAGGGACACCTAGAAGGACCTCCCTGAGGAAGCTTCGGGTCGACAGACGAAAGGCTGAGCCAAAAGAGGCTGCCTGGTGCAAAACTTGGGCCGGTTGATGTGGCCAGGAGAAGGTTCAGGCCTGGTGAGGCTGCCAGTAGGGAGGCACAGGCTGGGCCTCCTGGAGTGACTGCCTGATGGGAAGAGGACCTGGGCCCCATGGGGCCACTGGGATGCAGGACCTAGCCCCGGAGGGGACCACGTGATGATGTATTGCACCCACGTTGGGGGGTGCCGCCGGGAGGGCAGGAGCTGGACCTGCAGACGCGGACTTCATGACCCAATGCTTGGGCCTCCCGAGGCCAGCGGGAGGACAAAGCAGGACTGGGCCTCAGGGCCGAGCTCTGGAGTCCCCGCAGCCTCCCCAGCCCCAGCTGCTGCCTGCTGGCTGCTTCCGCAGGCCAAGATCTTGCCTACCTGCATCCTGGCTGAATCCACAGGCCCAGCGCCTCCCTCACACTGGCCAGTTGAGGCTCAATTCATGCCTCTGAAAGACGTCTCTGGAGCCAGCTCTCGCCTGGTGCTGGCCTTGAGTCTGGGCCCAGGTCCTCCTTTGCACACGCCTTTCTTGGCCCAGCTCACCTGTCACAGACTCTTCTGAGACAGCTCCTGTCTCCCGGCAGCCTGTCGGCCCGAAGCTTTCTCTGTGGGCCCAGCCTCCCCACACCGGGCTCCTGCCTGCGCTAGGCCTCCTTAGTAGCTGGGATTACGGGCATGCACCACCATGCCCAGCTAATTTTTTCAGCCTCCCCCTTTCAGAGGACCCTTCAGACTCAGCTCCTGCCTTTGTGGCAGCCTGTCTCCACAGGCCCAGTCTTCAGCCTTTCTGTGGCCACATGGGGCCAAGCCAATGCCTCCCAGGGGCCCTGCCAGACCCAGAGTTGGCCTTCTGATGTCCTTTCCATGTCCAGAACGTCTTCAGGTCGGCCTCTTGGGGCCCAGCTCCTCCTCCCCTTGGCGTCTACAGGCCCAACATGTGAATTTGCCGCATAGAAACCTCTGTGGACTCGGCTCCTGCCCAGCTCCCGACAGCCTTTGTAGGCCCGAAAGCTCAGATTATCTACTCAGACTCTCCAGGCCCACCTAGCTTATGCCTAACGACTGGCCCCTCCAGGTTCAGCTCCTGCCCTTTTAAGGGCATCTCCAGGCCCCAGACATTCCTGAGTCGGCTTCTCCCCTTTCGGCTCCTGCTGCCTCCTCCTGCTGGCCATGTGAGGCCCAGTATTGGGTCCTGAATTCGGCCTCTCCAGGCCCAGCTCCTGCCCTCCTGGCATCTTTCCATGGGTGAAAAACATCCTCACATGGGTGCCTCCAGGGCCAGCTGCTGCCTCCCAACGGCCCCCTGGGGCCCAACTTCTGCCTCCCCTCAGCCTCTCCGGGAGGTCCAGCCTATGCCTCCCTTCTGGCAGCCTCCCCAGGCCCGGATTCTCCACCTGGCCTCATCTACTGGACCACGTCCTGCCTCCCAGCAGCTGCTTTTCACTCGGCTCCTGACCAGCTTCCAGCGACCTTTTGTAGGCCCGAAGCTTTCTCAAGTGGGGCTTTCTGGGCCTCCGTTCTGCCTCCCGGTGGCCTTGACAGGCCCTGCTACCACCTGACATTGGTGCCTCCTGGCCCAGCTCTGGACTCTCCACAGCCTCCCCAGCACCAGCTGCTGCCTGCTGATGGCTTTTCCAGACCAAGATCCTGCCTGCCTGCATTCTGGCTGCGTCCACAGGCCCAACGCTTCCCTCATAGTGGCTCATTGGAGCCCAGCGCTTTCCTGACAGTGGCTCATTGGAGCCCAGCACTTCCCTCACAGTGGCTCATTGGAGCCCAGCGCTTCCCTCACAGTGGCTCATTGGAGCCCAGCGCTTCCCTCACAGTGGCTCATTGGAACCCAGCACTTCCCTCACAGTGGCTCATTGGGGCCCAGCTCATGCCTGTGGCAAACCTCTCCGGACCCAGCTCTCGCCTCTTGCCTTGAGTCTAGGCCCAGATGCTCCCTCGCAGGGGTCTTCCTGAGCACAGCTCGCCTATCGCAGACTCTCCCGGGCCAGCTCCTGCCTCCTGGTGGCCTGTCCAGGCCCAAAGCTTCCTCTTTGTGCCCGGCCTCCCCAGGCCCAGCTTTTGCCTGCGCCAGGCCCATACCGGGCCCAGCCTCCGCCTTTCAGTGGACCCTCCAGGCCCAGCTTGTGGCATCACCATGGCCTCTGCTCAGGCCCAGCTCCTGCCTCTGTGGCAGCCTGTATCCACAGGCCCCACCCCCAGTCTCTCCATGGCCCCATTGGGCCAAGCTGATGCCTCCCGGTGGCCCTCCCGGGCCCAGCATTTGCCTGCTGGCATCCTCTCTGGGCCCAGAACGTCTTCAGGTAGGTGTTTTGGGGCCCAGCTCCTCCTCTCGGCCATGTCTACGGGCTCAACTTTTGAATTTTCCTTGCAGCAAACTCTGGGGACCCAGTTCCTCCCCAGCCCCTGGCAGCCTGTATAGGCTCGAAAGCTCAGGCCCTCTGTCTGATCACAGCTCAAAGGGGGAAAAGGAACTAACGTTCTCAGGCTCTGGTCACCTAATTCCTGCCCTCCTTTGCAGGGTGGGTCCCAGGGATACCGCCCACACTGGATGTTTGTTCACTTGCTAGCACCACCTGGCAGGTTCCTCCCTGGGGCAGACTGACTCAGGTGCTTCCCTTTTCTGGTTTCCTGGCTTGAAGCCGGCACTCTGCAGCTTCACAGTGAAGCTCAGCCGACAGTACAGAGAGCTCAGGGACCAAGAGGCTGGACAGTGCCAATGGTGGTTGAGGGTACTGGCCTGAGTACAAGGACCATTTCGTGATTGTTGTCGCCACCACAAAGAGCAATGTCCATCCCATAGCACAGCCTCAGCTCCTCTCCTTTTGCTGTGTCCCAGGCCTTAGAGGGGCTGCCATCCTCAGGGCCGACAGCTCTACAGCTTTACCTGCTCGTGTGTAGAACAGCTTTACAGAGGTTAGGACACAGCTCAGGGTCACACCGCAAATGATTAAGCCAAGGTCTACCCTAGACCTGGTGCCTCCAGAGCCTCGGTTCTGTTCTCTTCATGGTGAAATCCCTGCTGGACTTTCTGGCAATCCCTAGCTCCTCTCTGCAAGGAGTGAGCTCTGGGTCCCAGCCTTTGCCCTTGGTCCCATCTCAGCTCCCAGCCATCTCCCCATGGCAGCCCTTCATCAGACACAAGCTACAACCCTCCACAGAGGACAGTCTTGCCAGCCCCCAGGAGAGATGCTGACCCTGGTTGACTGTGACCATGATTGGTGTCCAGAGGCACTGGCAGCAGAAATGTCAAGCTGCCATCAAGAGTAATGGGCTTGTTTCCCTGTGGGCACCGGCGAGCCATCTGGCCTTGGTGCCCATGCTGGCCAGTGGAAATTGTCCCCTGCAATAGTAAGAAGTGGAGACCCAGCCTCTGAACTCACAGGGGCCCCTGCCTGACTGGCCGCCTCCCTTTTTGCAGCTGCGGCATGAAGCTGAACTTGGACTACCTGCTGGAGATGCTTTGGGAGTACTTGGCCCTGACCTGCATCTACACCAGGAAAAGAGGATGTGAGTTACACTGAGTGTAGCTGAGAAACAGGCTGAGCTTCATCCTCCCTAAAAGGCTGCCAGGCCTGTGGGTGGTGTCCAGAGACCCTGGCACCAGCTCTGGCCTGGCTTATTTAGACACATCGCAGCTCTTTTCCCTTCTCAGCACTGGGCACTGCTGGTTTTGTGTGCCCTGGTGGGGCAAGGCTACCTTGGGATCCTCAGTATCTGCAGCAGTTAGTGCCATCCTGACCTCCCCTCACAGTGACAGACCCCACCACAGGAGCATTAGTGACCTGAATCCACAAGAGCCCTCCCCATGTCTGACCCCCTCCCATCCTCCTGGTGGTTGCACACACACATATGCCCTGGGGTCCCAGCTGCTGAATTCGGAGCACTTTGCATCAACCCTGACCTTGGCAGCGAGATGTGAGGAGCGAGCTACAGTTTGCCTCACAAGATTCCAACATCCCTTTGGGTCCTGCCCATTGAGTCTAGATCCTGGTCTCTGTCAGTGCTGTCACAGCAGATGGGTGGCAGGCAGTGTGATCCTGGACTTTTATTTTGAGTCACTGTGTTCAAGTAAGGCTTGTAGAAGATGGCGCAGGGATATATGCGGAGGGTGTGCTGTATATCTGGGACATTAGGCCAAGGCAAGGAGACTGAAAGGGCCTCTGCAGCCATCTCTTCCCTCGGGCAGAATCATGAGGCGGCAGTGTGGGTCCTCGTGTGTGGTTGACGCTCTCCCCATCTCGCCCTGCAGAGAGGCCGGACTTCACAGACGCCATCATTCTCTGGAAAGGGGCCTCAGTGGAGCACGTGGTGAGTTGACAAGACCTGCCCTAACAAGGGGTGGGAGCTCTGTGTGCCCCTTGGAGCGCTGTTCTGTCTGAGGTGCCCTGGGCCAGGGGTAGGCTCTGCTGGTCTCAATCTCAGATGGTGACACACAGGCTCTGGAGTTGGACAGTCTGGGGCTGCATCTGCAGCACCGCTTCCTAGCCATGTGCTGTGCCTCCAACCTCTCCTGTGAGGTGGGATGTGCTGCCTGCCCCCCTGGGTCATCAGGAAGACACATTGGATTAAGTCCAGCATGTAGGGCACTGAGCATGATGCCTGTAGTGCATAGATGCCAGTAACCCTGCTCCCATGCCATTCAGGCATTAGCCAAGGAGTGGGGAGTGGTGCTGGCTCAACACAGAAGTCAGGACAGGTTTCAAGGAGGCCTCCTGAGCTGGCTTGTAGAACTAGCAGGTATGGCAGTGAGGAGTTGGGGTGGGGAGCATCCCAGATAGGGGAGCGGGCATGCACAGGCCCCAGAGGAGGTGCTATTGGTTCAGGGAGCACGAGGCTGCCTTTCTCTGTCCAGAATTCTGTCACCTGAACATGACCCTGCAGGCATTGGTGGTGGCCAAGTGTTGGGTCACATGGCTGTGCTTCTGGGCTGTTGGCTTTTCCAGGTGTTATTTTCCTCAAGCTGATTTCTTCTTGGGATCTGTATCATGGAAGCAAGGGACACTGTCCCTCTAGCCCCTTATGACAGTGGTGGCTGGGCTTGCAATCTGGTCTCATGCATTCATTCCTTCTGAAAGCCCAGCCCCAGGTCTCTGGGTGCCACCCTGGAGGTGTTGAACAGATGAGGCCATGCAAAGTCCCATCTCTCTAAGACCTAGGCTTGAGATCACATCAGGAGGAGCCAAGAAGGCTCACGATCACCCTCGTGAATCCCTTCAGACACTCACAAGTGGCAAGCTGAGTAAAAAGTAAGACTCATTTGCAGGCCCGAATCAGCCACCTTCCCATCTCTGTCAGGGAAGTGGACCTGCAGGCCTGGCGCCACCTCTGCCCCAGGGACACTGGGCTGAGGTGTTTTGTCTCTCACTGGGGCCTGGAAGACTTGTGGGCATGTAGGGGGAGGAGCCTTATCGCACAATTGCAGAGTCCCTTCCCTGACGCCCTCCACTGTCCCACCATCAGAGTGGCAACCAGAAGTCCACACTCAGGGCAAATGCTGGCTGCCCCTCCAGGGTCTCCTTCCAATTTCACGTGACATCTGGGACCCTTTTGACCTTTATCCCTACCAAGAAGCACTGGAGGGTGTACGCTGCTCTGAGAGTTGGGGGTGATGTGATATGTGGGAGGCTTCAGGTCACAGGTGGGGCCAGGAGGAGTGAGAGACAGTGCAGTCAAGCTTGGGGTGGGGTTAGGTGGAGCTTCACCTTTCTGTCTCTCCCCTGTTTTTCTGTGCCTCTGTATCCACCAGTCACTTGCTAGCCAGTTCAAGTATGCCCTGGTGTGGGTAAGTGTCTGGGTGGGAGGCAGGCAGGGGGTTAGACCCAGCAGAGCCCCTGGATTAGGCATAGAGCAAGGCATTCACATTCCTCTGCATGGTGTTCCTGTTTTTCCTGTGGGGATTGGCATGACTGTGTCTGTCCTCCATAAAATGTATGTGTTCACCCAGGCTGGACATGGGCCTTCCCCACTTTTTTTCTTTTTTCTTTTTTTGAGACAGGGTCTGGCTCTGTCTCCCAGGCTGGAGTGCAGTGGCACAATTGCGACTCACTGCAGCCTTGACATCCTGTGCTCAAGCAATCCTCCCACCTCAGCATCACATGTAGCTGGGAGTATAGGCACACAGCAGCATGCTTGGCTGATTTTTCATGGAGATGGGATCTTGCTATCTGGCCCAGACTGGTCTGGAACTCCTGAGCTCAAGTGATTCCTTGAGCTTAAATGAGGCCTCCAAAAGTGCTGGGATTACAGGCATTAGCCACTGTGCCTGGCCCTCCCCCACCTTTGAGGTCAGGGATGGTCAGACCACTGCAGACATCCTGCTGCCTGGGGCCCTGACTGTATGCCAGGCATTCACCTCCAGACACACACCCCGGGGATATCTTTCGTGGCCTTGCCCTTGGCCAGTGCAGGCTGAGGTGACCCCTCTGCCCCCATTCCTCACCCAGGGCACCATCACCAAGTACAGTCCACAGCAGGGTGGGTCTGACCCACACCATGGAGCATGAGGAGGTCATCCAGATCGTGAAGAAGTAATGGCACCTGCCAGGCCTCCTGCCCTACCTGTCTCATCTCCCTGGGGGCTTCGGTCCTACTGGGATACACAAACACTCAAACAAAAATACAAATACACACATTTCTCTGACACTTGGGGTGGAGGCCCTTCCAGGAAGAAACCCCCTTGGGTCTTCCACTCAAGGCTCTCCAGGATTGGAAGCAGAGGTTAGTGGCTTCAAAGGCCCAGCTGACATTCTCCACAGCCTAAGGTGTCCTAAAGTGCCTCCCTCTTTTTGACCCTCCCAGGGCAGCCCCTGCCCAGCACAAAACCCCCAGACCCTGGCTCTACACACCTGGGCCAGGGACTTTTGAGTTTAGAATCTGTTTTCTAAGTCCCCAGTTCTCCTGGCTCTCCTTTCTGAAATAAAGGATTGAAAACCATTCCTGTCCAGACTGAGAACACTTTGTAACCTTGCTGAACAGTAGCCAGGTTGAGTCAGGTGGGCACAGGTCAAGCATTGAGAATAGCAGTGGGCCTGGGAGTTGGAGAGGGTGGAGCCTGGATCCCCAGGGCAGCCCCAGGCCATGGGTGGCAAGGAGAATGCAGGGTTCCTCAGTCAGGCACGGGCAGGCTCTGCCCAGGGAGTTGGTCATGGGTGTCAGGCCCAGACTGACCCCTCAAGACAGGCCTGGCTGCCAAGGTGGGCAGCATCCCAGGAGGCCTTTGCGACCATCTGGGTGGCAGGGAGGCTCCCCCGTGAGAACAAGGTGGCTGACCATTTCCTGTTGCCTCAGAAACCACGAGCAGAGGGGCTGGCAGGGGCTCATTGAGTACCTATAATGTGCCAGGGACAGTGCCAGCCCTTCACGGTATTCTACTGTTTCTTGGAAGCTGGTACAGGTTGCACAGTTTTTGAATGCAGAGCCTAGATGTAAGACCTGTGAGCAGCAGCGAAGGCTTCCTGGAGGATGTGTGCCTTTTCAGAGGGATGCAGCAGGTTCTGTGAGGCTGTCAGGAAAGGTAGAGAGCTCCAGGGGGCCTCGGGCCCAGCTGGAGTATGGAGCAGGCCCAGGCCCAGGTCCTGGGCTGTTTGCAGCTCTGCTGTCAGCTGCTCAGTCCTTTCCAGAGACAAAACAGGAATAATAGACATTATTAAATATACATGTGGCTGGGGCCCCAGGCGGTTGGCCTGGTGGGCTGGGCCTCCCTTCCCCATAACACCGAGCCACTCTGCTGGGCCAATTGTGCTCCTGGGCCAGCAAGAGGACCCCCATGAGGCAGCATGCAGGCTAGGAGCAGGCCACGGGACCCAAATAAGGGGTCCCTAGCCTAGAGTCCTTGGGGTTGGCCACTAGCTACCCTCCCATCCCAGACTGCAGGGGCAGCAGCAGAGCTGGGGCCTTGCCCCTAACTCACCTTGAGGCCCTTTGCTGCCTCACTTTGTTCATCTGTGAGGGGTGTGATGCCCATGCAGCCCCCTCCAGGTGATGGTGGGATACCAAGACAGGCAAGGGCTTTTTTGCCCCCCTCCCAACAGACCTGATGCTTGGCCATGAGGCCCTAAGTGAGGGTTTCTACCTGGGTGGTGGCCATTCCCACTTCCACTTTACAGGCAAGGGCTCTGGCCCTGGGTGAGGTGGGGAAGGCTTGAGCTCACACAGTGTCAGGCTGAGTCTGGGCCTTGGGTTAGATCCAGGCCTATTCTGTCCCCCTGGCTGGCTGACAAAATGGGGAAAATGAGGCCAGAGGCTGGGGGGTCTTCAGGCAGTGAGGGCTTGGGTGAGTGGCTCCTGCCACTGGGCTGCATGTTCCTGGGCTAGGTCTGTTGTGCATGGGGGTCAGGCAGGCACTACAGCTCTGTTGTGTCCTGGGCTTTCTGGATCTGTGGGCAGGATGGCTGTATGGTCTACATTTGCATGTGAGAGTGAGCGAGAGATCATGCAGCCGTGTATGCCCAGGTCAGTGTGAAGGCAGTTCATGGTGCCCTTAGGGCTGGGGAAGCTCCCTAAAACCCCCTCAAAGGTCCCAGACCCCCCCAACCTGGGCGAGCTCCAGGCTTGGGCCTCACCCTGTCAGCCACCTTGTTCTCATCACTCATGCTCCCTGGCAATCACAGGCAGGGGTCTGCACCCTCACCCAGGCCATGCCCAGGCAGCAGAGCTGCACTCAGCTCCCAGCTGGCATCCCTGCAGCCTCCCAGGGGTCATCTGCCCGCAGCTTTAGAAGACTCAGGTACAAAGGAGCCAAAGAAATGCATATTATTCTGTCCCATGCTTGTGCATTCTCTCATTCTCCATCTTTCTTCCTCTCCAGCTTAGATTCCAGTTTTTTGTTCCAGAACCCTCCTTTGGCAAGCAAGAAAGCCAAGTCGAGAGCCTCTGCTTCCCACTCTGTCCTTCTCCTAGACAGCTCACCCCACCTCCAGCCTCCATCTCACCAGACCTGGGTCCGAGCAGCCTTTTTGACTCTCCACTGCACTGTCCCATAGCCATCCAAACGCTCCGTGTCCCAGACCAAACATGGCGTTCCCACCCACCCAGCCTCACCTCAGAGACACTCCGTGCACCCTCCAGCTGCACCAACCCAACCCCAAGTTCACCTGGCTCCCCCCTCATCCCAGCCCCATCTAGCCCCTCATCAGGGCCAGCATGTTTACCTCATCCTGAATGTGTCCACTGGACTCCATCACAGCATGGTCCCAGTCACACCACTGTCCCCAGCTCCACTCTTTCACATGGCTGGCCTGAGCTGCCTTTTCTCCTGCTTCCTAAGAAGCCATGTGAGCCAGTGGTTGAGACCATCGACACTCTGGAGCCAGACTGCCCAGGCTCAACTCCACCTACAAGCTCTAGTGGGCCCATGTCCTCCTCTGCAAAGTGGGAAGAATAATCACACCCACTTCAGGAGGTTGTAGTGAGTTGAGTTCTGTGTGGCCTGGCAGTTCTGAACACAGGCCTTGCCATCACAGGTCCCATTGCTTCCTCACTGTGGGCTCTCCGCTGAGGGATCTAACCTGAGATCAAGCCCTTCATCTATAAAATGTGAAGAACAGTTGCTGTCCTACTTATGTGAGAATCTAGTGTGATACTTCAGAAAAGCATTTAGCACCAAGCCTGGCACACAGTAAACATCTGGAAATGTGGAACAGTGACCAAAGTCCCATCCCTTCCATGGCTGATTGGGCTAGTCCCTGCCTGCCACCCTGGACACCTCTCATTTCACATGCCCTCAATCACTCTGCTGTAGCCATAGACTGTCCCTGAAGCCCCTCTTACTACCTGGCATTTGCACATGCTGTTCCACTTGCCAGCAATACTGTTCCCTCTTCCATGTGATCAGCTCCCTCTTATCCTTATCTTGGTTCAGGGTTACCTTGTCAGGAGAATCTTCCTGGACCTCCAATGCAGTGTTCGCCCATCTGGGGTCATGCCCTGACCTTCACAGCTCTTCTTATCGGTGTGACTCTTTGTTTAAAGCCTGCATCCAGGATAGGCATGGTGGTTCATACCTGTAATCCCAACACTGGTAGGCTGAGGCAGGAGTAGTGCTTGGGGGCAAGGCGTTCAAGACCAGCCTGGGCAACTTAATGGGACCCTGTCTCTAGAAAAACTGAAAGCAATAGCCAGGTGTGGTGGCACACACCTGTGGTCTCAGCTGCCCGAGCAGCTGAGGTGGGAGGATTGCGTGAGCCTGAGAGCTCAAGGCTGCAGTGAGCTGTGATTATGTTACTGCACTCCAGCCTAAGTGACAGAACAAGACCCTGTCTCAAAAAACAAAAACAGAAAACAAAGTCTGTGTCCCCTACAATGCAGGGAACTTCATGAGAGCAGAGATCAGGTTGGCTTTCACTCCACTCTGCCAACCCTGAGTGCCCTGCATAGTGCTTGGCACATAACACATGCACAACTAATGCACAGCTAATATTTAAAGAATCAATAAATGAGAGACTAGTAGCCTGACACCCGCTCTGTGCCTGCACAGAGGTCAGGGACCCTGAGAGGGAGGCAGGACCTGGAACCTACCAGAGAAGGGGCAACCTCAGCTGACTTCCTTGCCCGAGGCCCCAGAGACCAGGAGGGCTCAGGTGGGCAGGACTTGCTGCCAGCAGTCACCCAGACCACCTCACTCAGAGCAGACAGGCAGAGGCCTGTAGCAACGATGTTGGCAGTCATAACAGCTGCTTACCCAGGCCAGCCACTGTGCCCGGCTCTCCACCATTTCATGTAATGCCCAGGCCAGCCTTGGTAGGGGAGGTATCTACACTCACGGATGAGGAGACTAATGCTGAGGCTGCATGACTTGCTATGGGTCAGATCCAAGTGAGGAATGAGACCTGACCCAGAGCTCTGAGCCGCGGGCCTCCTCATCCCCTGGGCTAGAGCTGGGCTTGCCTCTCCGAGTGGCAGGTCTTCATCTGGACAATGGGGTTTTGCAGGGGAAGATGCCTGCCTGCGGGCTTGAGGCATGACTTGGGCAAGCTTCTAGACAATGGTGGCCTCTCAGCCTTTCTTTCTTTCTTTCTTTTTTATTTTGAGGAGAAAGAGAATAATATTTATTGGGCATAGCCACACACCAAGTTAGATTTTTTTATTATTAATAGCACCAGTCAGCTCTGACCCTGATTTATTTCTTTATCTTTTTATTGCATTTTAGGTTTTGGGGTACATGTGCAGAACATGCAAGAC